TTCTATCTCCAGTGCTGCAAATAAATAAATACATAAGTAAACAAATGGTGCAGTGTCCAGAGGAGCGCCTCAAAGTCCCTCTCAGATGCGTCCAGGAAGCTGGGGAGATGGATCTTCAGGAAAACTGTGTCAGAGGTGATGAAAGGCCCGTGTGTGGGTGGGGGAGACTGCATCTGCACACAGCCAAGGGCTTTTCCTACTTACTAGGGATGACCTCTTCCCCACCTCCACTGGAAAGTGGGGCAGGCCTGTCTGGATCTGCCCTGGCCTCTGGAATCCAGCCTCTAGCAGACGGCTTTGACCTTCTCTCTTGGCCTGCAGCCTCTCTGGGGCTGAGAGTAGAAAGTCACACTCTCCCTCTTGGGCTTGGGACCCCTTGAGAAATAAGGACAACATGGGGACACTACTTGTGGAGCAGTGACGTTTCTCTTTTTTATTATTTTTATTAGTACAGTTTAGATGCACAGGGGCTGGGGATTTAGCTCAGCGGCAAAAGCGCCTGCCTGGCAAGCGCAAGGTAGTGAGTTTGGTTCCCGGTACCGGAGAAAAACCAAAAAGAAAAAAAAAAAACAAAATAGATGCACATAATGATCATGTTCATCATGGGGAACTTCTACCTGTATATAACATATCTTAGTTCCTCTTTTTTGCCCTATTCTCTTTCCCTTCCTCAACCCCTCTTCCCCTCCTTATTTATTTGCAAAGCTTTGCTGCTATTTTATCCTTTTTTTCTCACACCTCCCACCCCCGTTCCCCTTTCCTTTTGAACAATTTCTTCCTATTTCACAATATCTATTACACATTTTGGTTCTTATGTACACTTTCAGTTTCTCACACTAGACAATGTGATATTTACATGCGTGTCTGATTTATTTCACCTAAGAGAATGGTCTCAAGGTGCATCCATTTAGCTAGAAACGTCTCAAGTGTATCCTTCTTTATGGCTGAGTAGTACTCCATTGTATAAAAAAAATCACATCTTTTTATCCATTCACTGGTTGATGGGCATTTGGGTTGTTTCCAAGATTTAGCTCTCACAAACTGTGAGAGCTATAAACGTGGGGTTTTCTTACAGGGGCTTCCAGGGGCCTTTGTAAGGAGGGCTTCCTCGGAGGGCCTTGGGGCTGGGGACACACTCTGGGCCAGGCTGGCTGCTGGGATGCGGTGGAGCTGCAGGTGTGAAGAGAGCCTGCAGTTTGGTGCTGCCTGAGACAGTAGACTAGAGGATTAAGATAGGACAAGGTCTAAGCGAGGGCTTGGCTGGAGATAAGATTAGGAGAGGGGCTGGGGCAGGAGCAGAGAGTGAAGCTCAGGCGGTGCGGGGGAGGTAAGGGTCCGGGCGGGTCCCGGTAGGGCGTGTTATGCACTGCTCTGGAGCTTAGACATGAGATACCTGTGACCTGCATTCCAATGCTCCCTGTCCCCAACTGTCTGGATCTTTCCGGGCGGGCTCCCTTGCTTCCTGCAGTCTTATCTTGTATCCATCAAGTGCCTATTTCATGCCTGTCAACCCTCTTCAGCTCACCTGTGCTCTAGGTCTTTGAACATACCCTTATCATCTCCAAGTTACTGTATAATCTACTTAGGCGAATGCCTATTGTTTCTCTTTGCTCCCTATCTAGGTCAGTTCCGTGAGGATTGATCCCTTTGTTCTGTTCACTTGGGTCTCCAGCTCCCAGGACAATGCCTGGCACTACGCATACAGCGTAAATCTTGGTTGAATGAATGAAGTCGCTAAGCCTGTCCTGAGAAGTTCCTGAATTAAAGCCTGGGCTGGCTATGCTGCTGCTGCTGGCCCTGTATTTCAGGAAGGAGCAGACGAGGTCTTACTATAAGGAGCTTCGCACCCAGCTTGTGGATGTAAAGGAGGTGCCCAGCAATGACAGCCCGTAGGTGCTTCAGTTTCCTCATCTGAAAGTGAGCTCAAAAGTCCCCACTCTGAGGGGCTGGGGATTTAGCTCAGTGGCAAAGCGCCAGCCTGGCAAGCGCAAGGTCGTGAGTTCGATTCCTGGTGCAGGAAGAAAAACAAAACAGAAAACAACAACAACAACAACAAAAAAAGTCCCCACTCTGATGTTTGCTCTGGGGGCTTCATGCAGAGCTGCATTTGGGGTGTAGGACAGGCTCTTACATGCAGGGAGTGTCAAATGAAGCGAGTCACCAGCAATTTCTCCCATCTAACGCTTGCTGGTGCCTTTGCTTAATGAGTTGAGGGTGGCCCTGGGGATCAAATGGCTCAAACTTTGGTTAGGCATAGACTCGAGGAAAACAATGATCCCTCAAGCCTAAGGTCAAAATAGACTCAAGTTCCCAGACTCTGGCCCATTTGAATTTCTGCCTAGATTTTAGGCAGGCTTTCCCGCCAGCCCCTGGTCACAGCCGCCTCTTCCTACCTCCCCATGAACAGGCCTCAGAGTTTTGTTAGCTTTCTCCATTCTGTCTTCCTCAGCCTTGTCCCTGAGGTCCAGACCACCTGGCCCCTTGCTCCTGGGCTCCTGGGCTCCTGGCCTCTCACCCAGTTTCTGTTGCCTAGTGCATCTCAGGTCTCGTTTGAGGCAGGGAGCTCAGGGTGTGCACTGAATTAACATGAAATAAATAGATGAGTAGGAAGAGCTCTGGACTGGGAATCGACAGGCCTTCTAACCCCAGCTTCTAACCCCAGCTCTGACCTTGACCTTTCAGTAATAGACATCTGGCCCTCAGTTTCCTTGGCTCCAGTGGGGGCTGTGAACACCTGCCTTGCCCGCCTTAGAAGACCACTGTGGGACTCAAAGGGGATCACTGCTCTTGGAGCCATGGGAGCTTGGAGAGCGAGGCGTGCGTTTTGCCTATTTCTTCCATCTGGGGGAAAGGGTGCTGCAGGAACAATGGGTGCACAGGTGCCCAGAAGTCTGATGTAAGAGGCTGCTTTCTACCAGCTGGGAGGCAGGGCTGCATTTAGAGACTGTCCAGTCCACCCAGCCAGAAGGGAACTGCACCCAGACAGGGACAGTGACTTGCTCATCTCACCAGCCTTCAGCCAGTGCAGAGAGCAGGGAACAGGGAGCAGGCGGGCAGTGGCTGCTCAGAGACCTCATCCCGGTTGAAATCCTGAGGGACAGAGGGTGTGAGGGAGGGAGGTGTCAGGGCTGGTAGCCAGGCTCTGGGCTCCCTCAGTAGAGGGTGCTTGGGGAGAAATTGCTGAGACTCAGAGGGTGCAGGTTAGCTCTGGAGCCCAACAGGAAGTGCCCATAACCCTCCCTGGGGGAACTCAGAGGTCAAGGGCAGATGCTAGGGAGCTGAGATGGACAGATCGGGCTTTGGACTCCCTGGGGCTCGCCCGGCAGCCTCTGCACAGGCCCGGAAGGCAATTTCTGTGCCTGGGGATGGCGTTGGCTCACAGATGTTGATACCACCTAAACCCCAGGAATCCTGAAACTCTCACAGGAAACCTTCCGTGCACTGTACTCAGATTTTAGTAGATAAGCGTGGCACCTCCTAAGCCTCGTTCACTTCCTACTCCATGACCCGCCGTCCTCACCTAGCCTGTGAAATAATTAACAGATAGTGTTTAACCCTTGAACTGACTTTTTAAAAACATTAGCTTATTCCTAAAAGAAAACTTGGTATCACTTCTATAAATAACTATGACCAATTATAAACATACAAGAAGAAATAAGAAACATGCATACATTTTGGGGTTGGAGCACCAGGCCTCAGTTCTGGCTCCCACCTTACTGTAAGGAATCATACATGCTCTCCCTGGGCCTCGGTTTTTTCATCTGTAAAATGGACTTGGCAGAAGATAATGTATGCAAGACTCCTGGCCCTGAGTTTCTCCTGCAGTAAGAGAGGGAATTCTGGGCTGGAACTAGTCCTGTGGGCATGCCACCTCCTCTCTGCTCTGTCTTTGGTCACCTCTTTATGACCATCAGGGAAAAGGCTGCAGCCATCATCTGGCATAGATACCAAGGAAGGCAGGTCTCAGAGGGACGCAAAGTCCCCGTGTTCAGATCTCTGGCTGTTGTGGATTAGAGGCACAAGTTGTTCCCAAAGGCCTGAGGTGACTCTCCTCCTAAGAGGCAGTGAGCGCCTCATATTTCCATGCATTCAAACAGGACAGGGATTTCTCAGCAGGGAGCTGACAGAATTCAAAGGATCTGGTCCTCAGAGGAAGGTGCTCAGAGGAAAGTGGGTGGTGGTCCCGTGGGAGTGGGCTGAGCCTTAGAGTGCCCAGCATCGCCTCTCCCTTCGTTTATGTAACATTTTAGTTTCCTGTGCTCTTTCCAAACACTTGTGTCCTTGAATTCGCCCCTGCAGGCGAGGAAGAAGCCAGGGGAGATGGTGCGGGCCAGTTAGAGAAGGGCAGGCGGTCCACAGAGGTCAGCTGACTTGGCCAGAGTAACCAGAGCGGAATTTTGAACCTGGGTTTTCTGTCTCCACTGCCTGGGAAGGGCCTGCCGCGGCACGCGGAGGCCTGTCCCGAGGTTCTGTCCTGGTTATAGCTTCCCTCTCTGAGGACAGGCAGGGAGGAAACGCGCCTGTTGGGGATGGTTGGGGGCGGGGAGTCCTCCCTTTGCTCCCTCTGGCCAGAGCTGGGGGAAGAAGAGCGAGAGTCAGGGACACACGGAGACAGACATGGAGAGAGACAGAGATCCAGAGAAAGCCAGATGGGTAGACAGACACTAGGAGAAAGGCGAACGTAAGACAGGCACAAAGACACAAAGAGACCGAAGGAGCGCACACAGAGGCCGCACAGTACGAACTCGCGGACAGAGGGGCGGGCGGATCACAGCCGGAGCCGGGCCACGCGGCACCGGCGCAGGG